AGAAAAATGTTAGCAACCTGTAACTATTGACTTCCAAAGTAGTACAAATAATTTGGAAGTCAATGCTTACAAGTTTCCTGCATTTTTCAAGATATCTTATTTTGTGTTTAACAGAAAAAAGGACAGGTTTTTGACAAGTAAAGGATTAGTAAATTCTAACAGAATTTTCAGTTTCGGTTGAATCATCTCTTTAACAAGTTCAAATTTGAGTATACTTTAAAATGGATAATTAGTTTCATTTAGTCACTATTAATTGATCAAATTTACAGAAAATGTACTGATGATCATGATCTGTATCATTAATGCATTGCTCTTTGTAATGCTAGATTGTTCCAAGGTATGTTATGCCCAAAATTGCCTAAAATTAGTAATGCATGATATTTTATAAAAGGGCTGCACCATATTGGTAAAAACTGACACTGCAATATTTTGTAGTTCTGCGATATATATTGCGATATGAATATAATTTCTCAATGTGACTTGGAAATAATTCATTTTGTTGGGGAGTGCATCTGCATAATATCCAAAAAATAAATGAATTAAAGCACAGATGAAAACAACAGAACAAAGGTAAAAACTAAATAAACAGTGCTTTATGTTTTTCGGTGGAATCTAACAATATTGAGGTACAATTCCTTTATTAAATCTGAAACAGGACTGTATTGTCTTTATTTTCAAAATAAATCAACATAATTATTCTTTGTAAAAGTGACAAACTTGATCATTTCTTCTGATTTGCTTTAAATCGCAGGCTTTAAAAACACATTAAAGTAAAAATCTTTCACACTTAGATTATGATTCAAATTTACAATGACTCCACAGATCATTTGTACTGAACTGTGGTTCCTGGTTAATTATAAACCCAACTTGACATTGCAAATCCTGCGATTATTGACAGTGCATATGTGCACATTGCAAAATATCAATGCTGAAACAATACATTGTGCAGTCTATATATATATATATATATATATATATATATATATATATATATATATATATATATATATATCATAGTTGTATATATCACGTCATAGTTAGCAGAGTAAAGACAGTTGACTTTGTCCATTCACAAAATGGTGACAGAGACTGCATAATAAGCCCTTAAAAGAGAAAAGATTACATTATTTTCAAACTACAGCTAGTCAAATCAATATTAAATTGGTAAGTGATATTCTAAAGGGTGTCGCACACCAGATGCGCCGCTCAGCGCTTCATGAGAGTTGAAAGTATCACACACCAGACGCGCACATTCGCATATTATTTAAAATGAAACTATTTAGAAGGCGCTCTATGGTGTGGCAGAAATATGAACAGTCAAAAGTGCCACGGACAGCACTTTTGGTGTGTGACCCTCTTTAGTCGATTTCTCTCTTTTCATGTTGTAGTGCTGCATGTATACCATAGTAATTATAGTGTATTAAATGTGAGATTGGACTCGCATATCAGGAAAGTGTGTATTTTGTGTTGGCCACTTTGTATAACCTTGAGTTACTTTTTAGTTGGCCATCTGTTGCTAATACGTATCCTGTCTTTGTTACTGCAGACTAGTTCAGTAAAAAGAAAGAAGAAATACCTGCATGTTTAGCATGTTTCCTTATCGCAAACGCAACAGTAATCTGGTAGTGTTTGCGCTGCTTTGGCTTTTTCTGGATTAATTATTGTGATCTCCCGACTGCAACAGAGACATACTGGGAAATCTCTGTAGACTGATGGCATTTCATGCTCTTCAGCCTTATAATCTTAAAATGTGAGCAAAATCAGCTGTTTTGTTATTACTTTAGACATTACGCTAGAGAATCATTCAAATACTAGCTCTAAAGTGACGTTGGTGAATTAGTAATGGCTTCTGCTGTTCTGATGTCAGCTGCAAATGTGAATGAATGGTGGAAGAAAATTGTTTCCTCTTACAAAAGGGTTTTGAGACTCTCTGTGTTTAATTTTCTTGTTTATACACACTATTATGCCATCGAACTGATGTATAAACGCCATACCACACGAGTATCAGTGTGATGTGTCTGTATATCATCACTGGTGGGACAATAAGGCACTCGGCCGCACAGCCATATCGCACTGCTACTTGTGTGAGATTGCTCATATATATTATACTACATGTCCTATATTGTAATGTGAGATTTTTGTCTGGACTGTTTGTAGTAGGATTGGGCAATAACTAAACAGAGTTTGGTTGTTGTTCTCTCTGTCTGTAAACGAGTGTGAACTGATGCTCCTTCAGTCCTGATGCTGCTTCTCTGCTGTTGACCAACTCCAGGGCTCTCTTTGATCAGTTTCTGCTTTGGTTTTTTTTGTCTGCAGACTCCACAGGGGAGACTCTCCAAACTAAACACTCGTCTGTTTCTCTGTCCCTGTACGTCCCCTTTTCTCTGCGCAGCTTGTTTTGCAGGTTTGCCAAGTCCAGCTGAGCATGTTTTCAAGAGGCTGAAAAGAATGAATTATGCAGCAATAAAGCATGCTTACAGCTGGCCGTTTCCAGAGGCTTTGATCCGCGAGCGCAGTCTGCATGAATGCCCGCATTGTGTGTGTGTGTGTGTGTGTGTGTGTGTGTGTGTGTGTGTGTGTGTGTGTGTGTGTGTGTGTGTGTGTGTGTGTGTGTGTGTGTGTGTGTGTGTGTGTGTGTGTGTGTGTGTGTGTGTGTGTGTGTGTGTGTGTGTGTGTGTGTGTGTGTGTGTGTGTGTGTGTGTGTGTGTGTGTGTGTGTGTGTGTGTGTGGACACGCGTGTTTGTGTTTGGAAGAATAGAGAGGCCTAGGTCTGGGTTAGAGGAGATTACACTGCAGGCACGTCGGGTGAAGACTGGCTGGAGAAACTGCACACCGGCTCACTGTCACCATATTGTCCTTAAAGCAATAGATTGACATGAAGGGAATTTACACAGGGTCGTGTAGTTCAGACTGTCCATATAGAGTGCTTTTCATCCGGGAAATAAAAAAGGAGATGTTTTGAAGAATGTTCATGCTGCTCTATTTTTTTAACTTAAAGACAGAGGCTGTCAAATTTGAAGGGCTCTTTTCATAGATCCATAAGCTAACATTGTGTAATGAATAAAAGTTATGCATGTATAGTCTTTTACCTCCATCATATCATTAAAATTGCATTAAAATGTTAAATTAGTACAATTAAGCAGTTTTAATCAACTCGTTTCAAGTATTCATTGAAATTTAACTGACTTAATTTACATTATGCATAAATTGGCTTACACAGTGTCATTCAAAGCACATTTAAAATGCTAATTTAGTCAAGTGAATAAAAATGATATACTGTGCATCTAGAATGTATTCATAGCGCTTCACTTTTCCACATTTTTTTTTATGTTAGTCTTATTCCAAAACGGGTCAAATTCGTTTATTTCCTCAAGATTCTACACACAATACCCCATAATGACAATGTGAATGAAGATTCTTTGAAATTGTTGCACATTTATTAAAAATAAAAAACCTGAAAAATCACATGTACATAAGTATTCACAGCCTTTGCTCAATACTTTGTTGATGCACTTTTGACACTTATGGATGATGGAGGCCACTGTGCCCATTTGAACTTTCAGAGCAGCGGAAATTTTTCTGTAACCTTCCCCAGCCATGTGCCTCAAGACAATCCTGTCTTGGAGGTCTACAGACAATTCCTTTGTCTTCATTCTTGGTTTTGCTTTGACATGCACTGTCAACCCTGGGACCTTATTTAAACAGGTTTATGCCCTTTTCAAATCATGTCCAATCAACTGAATTGAGCACAGGTGAACTTCAATGAAGCAGCTGAAACATCTCAAGAATGATCAGTGGAAACAGAATGTATACATAAAAAAGTCTTTTATTTTTTTTGCTTTCGTATGCTTAGTTCATATTAAATTTTTAATTTGTATTTAGTCTTTTTAAAAGCATTTAATTTGTATTTAATTTAGTAATAACATTTGTATAACATATAGAAAAGAGGCCAGCTAGTGAAGCGCTATGCAGGTAAACCTCATTCCTCTGACCTGAAAAAGTGCTCTAGCGACAGACGCTAGAAGCCATGGTCTTTCGCCTCCTTGTTAGAGCAACCGACTCCCATGCAAAGAATTGCCGGTTTGATCCCAGCTCAGCGCGGGTTGAGTGCAGTAGGACTTGTGGGTTACAAATAAATTAATGTGGATATAGTGCACTGTTAGATATATTATTACACATAAATAATTTCTTTTTATTGTTTTCATATGCTTAAGAATATTTTTCTTAATTTTATTTGTTTATAATGATTTACTAAACTTTATTGTTATGTATTTAATTTAATTTTGTTCTCCCAATCGTTTGCACATTTACATCTGTGAATTATAGTCAGAATTATTTACCCCCCCCCCCCTTTTTTTTTTTTCTTTTTTAAATATTTCCCAAATGATGTTTAAGTGCTAGGAAATTTTCACAGCATGTCTGATAATATTTGTTCTTCTAGGTCTTTTATTCTTAAGTCTTATTTGTTTTATTTCGGCTAGAATAAAAGCAGTTTTTTAAAAAAAAAATTAAAAATTGAAGGTCAAAAACATTAGCCTCTTTAAGCTAATTTAAGCCCGATAGTCTATAGAACAAACCATCATTATACAATAACTTGCCTATTTTTCCTAACCTGCCTAGTTAACCTAATTAACCTAGTTAAGCCTTTAAATCTCACTTTAAGCTGTATAGTAATGTCTGGAAAAATATAAAGTCAAATATTATTTACTGTCATCATGGCAAAGATAAAATAAATGAGTTATTAAAACTATTATGTTTAGAAATGTGTTGAAAAAGAATTCTCGTTAAACAAATTAACAGGGGGGCTAATAATTCTGACTCCAAATGTATATACTTTTTTAAATATAAATATATATATTATTTATAATAATATTGTATTATTTTTGTAACCTTAAACGAAGTGTCACAGCAATACTAAAGCAAAACAGTGCCTCACTTAAATAATGACCATAAAATAATGTCATCCACCAACAAGCATTTCTCTTTGTTTTCTCTCACAGGTCGCAACGAACTCATCGCCAGATACATCAAACTGCGAACGGGCAAGACACGGACAAGAAAGCAGGTTAGTGAAAGCTGCTGTCACAAGAAAATAAATAACGTTAGTCCAAACTACATATGATTTCCACATTATGCTGGAGCCAGGCTTTGTTTATAGCTTTTATAGCTTCATCCAAATGTGTTTTACTGCCGTCCCTAGAAACACCTGTTGCTCTGTGCAGATCTTATAGCAAACTGATTCAGACTTGTGCTGCTTTACTTGTTTTAAGCTAAAATGTAGTGAATGGTTAAATATTAAATGTTCCATTGTAATCAAAGTGCGTGCTTTTGCGGTTAATGGCAGGAGGCCTTTCATCTCCTTGGTTACAAAATGCTGTGTGTGTCTGTCGGTGTGTGTGTGTGTGTGTGTGTGTGTAGGTCTCCAGTCATATCCAGGTTCTTGCCCGGCGGAAATCCAGAGAATTTCACTCCAAGCTGAAGGTACAAGCCAGTCTTGTGTTTGACATTGTGTGTGTGTGTGTGCGTGTGTGTGCGTACACTAGTGTCCTGCTGTCTGTAACCTAGATTTCCTGCTTGCGACTGGCCTGTTTTGTATGCCGTCGACTGGCTAACTTCTTTTCTTCTGCGTGTTTGTCCGTTTCCTTCCCGTTTCGCACAACAGCGTGTTTGTTTTGGAGGAATCCACAGTTTTGCCAAACGCAGGATTATTTAACGTGTTACATTTGTTCAAGGATAAGCATGCAATTTAATAAAAAGACAGCTTAAAAGTCAAGGTCAGATATTATTTATTCATTCATTTTCTTTTTTGGACTAAGTCCCTTTATTAGTCTGGGGTCACCACAGCAGAATGAACTGCCAGCTTATTCAGCATATGCTTTACGCAGCGCATGACCTTCCAGCTGCAACCCCTCTCTGGGAAACATTCATACACTATGGACAATTTAGCCTACCCAATTCACCTGTATCACATGTCTTTGGACTGTGGAGGAAACCGGAGCAACCAGAGAAAACCCATCCAAACGTGGGGAGAACATGCAAACTCCACACAGACACGCCAACTGATCCAGCCGAGGCTCGAACCAGCGACCTTTTTGCTGTGAGGCGACAGCACTACCTAGATATTATTATTTATTATTATGCGCCACCCAGATATTATTTAGCATCATTTTATTCATAAATGAGGGTAAATCCATTTTTGTCCAGATTTGAGTGTGTAGTTTTAGGTTACTGGAAAACACTGGGATTTTCCACTTTTTGTTTTTTTAATCACTGTGTGAGGGAGCTGTTTCCTGAATTCTTAATGCTGTTTACATCATATCTTGTATTTCCACTTAAACTGCTTATTACATATAAAGAACACATTATGCTTATTACACATTTATTTACTTAATAAGTATCTTATAATAGTAATCTTATATTATATGTTTAACCCTGTATATATATATTATACAACGTTATAATCTAATAGTTGTTTGCATTTATCTAGTTGTGTACATTTGATATGATTATATTTACATGTCTTTGTATCTTTTATGCTAATCTTTGTTTATCTTATAATTCTTCAAAAGTCTTTGTCGGATGTCATGCTAATATGCGGATTTGCTCAGAAACACATTTTATGATAAATTTTTAATGAAAAAAAGCACGCACATCACTCTAAATGAGTGCTCAGACAAACCGCGAAAATATATTCAAAAAGGCAACAACACCAAAGCTCCAAAAGTTGCCAATTTATTAAATTATAAAAGCTAATAACACCAAAGTTTCAAAAAAATACCAATTTATTAAATCAAAAAGGCTTTTATGTGAGCATTTTAATTGAATAAATCTTAATTTTTGGAGCTTTGGTGTTGCCACCTTTTTGAACATTTAATAAATTTCGAAAGCATTTCATATATTTGGCAAGATATACGACTTCAAGATTTTCTTCCAGGATCTTTAGAAGAACAGAAAGTTCAAAAGTGTTTAGAATCTAAATCTGCTAGAATGTTTAACACATTTACTGTCACCTTTTCGTCAATTTAATGCATTGTTGGTGAATAAAAACAACATTTTAAGAAGCAGTCTCTTTATATAAAATATATTGTATTAAAATTATTATAATACCAAAAAAAAAAAAAAAGTTGCGTTACTATAATGCATATTTGAGTTGGTAAGGGTGTCAGAGATCAGGCTTTTGTGGCATCTGGTGGTTAAACAGCGAATAACAGTTCATTAAACCAGTGTTCATCTGTCACTAACCATTCTAAATACAGCGGGGAAAATAAGTAAATGAAAATAATCATGGTGTTTTTGCTGCTGGAAATAATATTACTCACGAAGCTGTTGAAATAGAATTGAACCAGTTGTTATTAAAAACCCAAACATAAAAACAATACGAAAAAAAACCTGAAAAAGGAGTTATAACATTAATAATAATATTGAAATAAGAATGAAATGACATGAGGAGAAAGAACTGAACTACTGAAAAGTATTTATTACTTTATATAAAAGGCTTTTTTGGTGATGGCAGATTGAAGACAACTCTCATATGGAGAATGAAGTCACATGCTTTATTTAGGTGTTAGTTTTTAACAGACTTCAACAGAGTGTAAAAGTCTTGATGGTTCTATGGGTCTTGTTTATCAAATCTAAGCTTTATTTTGTATTTTCTATTGGATTCAAGTCAGGTGATTGGCTGGGCCATTCTATGACTTAATTTTCTGTCTGAAAGCATTTAAGAGTTTCCTCGGCTGTGTTTTGGATCATTGTCTTGTTGAAATGTCTACCCTGGTTTCCTCTTCATCATCCTGATAATGTAGATGTTGGATTGAAGCAGCTAATATTAGTTTACACAGAAGAAGGCTTGAGGGTTGCTGAAGAACTACTGAGAGATTTCAGCTGCTGTCTGGGCTTTCACTGCCTTTCTACACCTCCCTTTCTTCATGTGTTCAATACTTTTTTCCTGCGTCATTTCATTTTATTGCACATAACTTAATTTGTAATCTAATTAGATTTGCTTTCTTTGCATTTATGGATTTCTTTGGTTGTTACCAACATCTGGGGAACATTTCAACTCATTAGCACAGTCAAAATGTTGATGTGTTCAGTGCTTATTTTCCCCGCTGTGCATCGGTCAATATCATTTACTTGTATGAATACACTACAGAACAATTCTCTGTAGAACAATAAAGCACGCTGGGAATGATTACACCGTTGATTGACATTTTGCTCACCGACCTCTTTATTTAATGCTTTATACTGACAGTGTTTCATTTAACAAAACTAAACCTGTAGTTAGCAAAAAGGCAGAACTACTGCTCGGAGCCTTTTGTTTCAGTGCTGTTGCTTTTTTCTTGAGCCTGACACAGTGGACAGTTACTAGAAAGACTCATTAAATGATACAAAAGACTCTTGTTTGAGCGTTAATACTTGTCGACACACTTGAGCAGAAATCTAGACATTTATCAGATACTTAAACTTGACAGACTGCAGATCTCATTCAGAAGCCTTTCTTACCAAGAACAGCTCACGTTATCCAAATCAATATCAAACATCTAGATAATGAGACAGATATCGACCAGTAGCAAACCATGGAAGTCCCAGTACCATATAAGGCACAACTAATGGGGATTATAATAAAATAAACTATAATAGCTTGCGTTAATTTAAAACTAAAAACCTAATTAGTGTGCAGTGCAGTTTTGGAGATCTAAATTTGGCATAAAACAGTCAACACGAATATGGGTATTTTCAGAACCCCGTTGTTTTTCTTTGCAGTTTGTCCACACAAAAATGCAGTATCTGAAACCGAAACTTTCTGATTGGCCAACATGGCTTAATAATGGTAGACTAATTACTTTAGTTTAGACGAACACAGAGCACCTAAACACTGCACCGCTTTTTAATTCTCATTATAAATATAGCTTGTATCAGAGCTTGTATGACAGATGTCCACAGACGGCACGGCATGTATGTGTTTGTTTCCATGATCTACAAGGTTTGTTGCATGTTTTTCCTCATGATGCTGTCAGGGCCGATACAGCAAAGCTGTTGGTTTGCAGCAGGCATTTTTGTCGGGAGAGCTGTACGAGTATTGGAGAATGGCGGACTTTGTCTTTTATCAGTTGAGTTCGTCACCATTCAGACATATTGCCTATCAGTGCTGCTGTGTTTGACAGTTTAAAATCTTCCAGATTATCTGGGAGGGCTAATGGTTGGACAAGATAGGGCAAGAGACCTGCTGCACTGCTATCCACTGTGTCTGCATTCAGACCCAGGCATTGAGGAGAGAAGTCTTCCTCATTTAGTGTCTATAAACATGATTATCCTTAAAGTGATATAACAAATTGTGGTTGTGTGTATGAAATTACGCATAACAAATGTAGCAGAACAATAAATTACTTGCTGTTTATTTCTTTGCATTTTAACATTGTAAACTATAAAATTATGCATCTCCTCACGATTTTTCTCATTTTGTGAGCCAACTGTCAAGTTGTTTGCTCCTGTCTTTATCACCTGCTCAGCTGGCCACGCCCACTCCTCCCTCTGCTCACTGCACTCCATGACCATCAATTCTGAGGTAGACTTGAACAGAAAGAGGGATTTTATGGCCATTTAAAAATATATATATTTTTTAATTCTAGGACCACACAAACCTTTCGACAAAATGGAAACTAATATTTTTTTGTTTTGTGTAATTTATACAAAAAAAGATTGAAAATTATCTGGATTTCAGAAATTGATGGATCATTGGATGTTTTTAAATTTTTATTTGTGGAACTTGTGACATTGATCCTGCCTTCATGCCTGTAAATGCATCATCAAAAATACAAAAAGGAAGGCGTGTCTTGATTTTGTTGATGTAGTTCAGTTGTGACCTGCCCTCACATCCATGAATTCATCATCTGTGAAAAGATGTTGCAGAGAGAAGGCAGTTTATTTTGAATGCATTCTTGGAGATGAAAAATTCAATGCAAGCTTCATTTGACCAGATTTATTTTAGGGAAATAATTTCATGAAGAAAAAAATGTGGGCGAGTTGTGGAACTGGTAGTTGATTAGATGGATTTGTTTTGCTATTGGTTGATCTTATGCGATTGTCAGGTTGCCCTACCTTTGTGCCAGGAAACATCTTCTCTAGGAGTTATTTGACTTATTAAAATACATGATACATTTTAAATAAGGCCTGCAATACTTTACCGACTCTGTCACTGTTCATTCTTTTACCGCCTCAGTCTGAGGACACATTGCTGGTGTTTTTTTGTAGCTTGAAAGCGATTCACACAGTGAAGTATCTGACTTGAAGTTCTCTGTGCTGATTAATTTCAGTTCCTCATACATTTTCCCTCCGCTGTATGTGTATTATCAACAGCTTATATAAACTAAGTCTTTGTATAAAAGTTTTGTATTAAAAGTAAACAAAAGCGATCTTGACCCAGACACTCTTTAGTCGATTCGTCTCAGCACTTCATATTTCCAGATTCAAAGGTCAATGACAAAACCGTTTTTCCATTTAGGTTCTTTAAAAAGCCTGATCTACTTATGACTTCACAAAAAAACTCATTCATTTATAGAAACGACAAGTCCCTTTGCCCTTGAGCCAGAACTATGAGATGGACTGAGTAAAACCTTTTATGGAACAGAATAAACAGCAGCTCAGTTTTCTGTGTGTGTCGTTGAAGGATCATACGGTGAAGAACGATGCCATCAACAGAATGGGAGGCATTTCTTCAGCGCAGATTGTCTCCGCCACAGCCATCCACAGTCGGCTGGGGCTCGCAGGACTGCCACGATCTGCTTTACCTGGAGCCACAGGGGTATGAGACCATGAAAAACTAATGTTGTTACCATATTTCCATATGTAAGATTAAAAGCATTAACATACAATGCCATATTAAAATGAGTTAATTTTTTGAATGTGCTGAATTGGTAAACAAAAAAGAGAACAAAATTGCCACTTTCTGATTAACCAGTGCTAAATATCAAAGAAATTTGCTGCAGTAGGAGTAGCTGTGTGAATTATTTTTTTTTATTTAATGAATTACTTACGCCTGAGAAGACTAACAACACGCAATTCTAATGAATTCTTAATATCGATTTCAGTGTTACAGAAAAAAACTTGTGTAAAGTTATAACATTATTGAGGACAAGTGAACAGTGTTGGATTAGTTACTTAATTACCATTACTAATTATGTGATTAAAATTGTAATTCAATGACTTTTCTAATTACTTTATATAACTTATTTACTTTGCTCAATACAATACTAAAAATCTCAACATGCAGACAATAGATACTAAACTCAGAATTCTAAATTTAAATTTCTAAATTTAAATTTTCACAAATTCAAATTGAAACAAAGTTGAAAATTTCAAAAAATGAAATGCTAAAGAAAAGTTAAAATCCTTAAGCAATGACACTATTTTTCATACTGTTATTCATTTTTTCCTTCTTAAGGATTTGAAATTATTGGACAATTGTAGCCTTTGATTTAAAAAAAAAAAAATCTAATTAGCATGTAAATATCTGAACTTACACACAGATAAACACAAAATTCAGGGCTCATACACATTTTTACTACTAAAATTCCATGACTTTTCCTAGGATTTTTTCAAGTCCATTTTCATGACCTAATGTTTCATGCAATGTACACATATGCGTGGTAAAAGAAATACAATGCATGTTCAGCTGTATTACAGCATATCGAAAAACATGCAACAATCTATTCAGTATAATTATATCTATGTATAATGTATTTAGATAATGCTTACACCGCACTAATAATGTAAGAGTAGGTGATTGGCCAAGGACAGAAAAGAAGTAAAGATAACTTACCTATATTGAAGAAAACAGATATCTGTTTTCCATGACTTTTCCAAAACTTTGTGGGCTTTTCGTTTTTTCCAAAACTTCTGAACCCTGAAAATGACTCTTCTCTGAGTTTGTACAATATATGTTTATGAAATAAATTTGAAACTCAATTCTAAATATTTGTATAAAAAAAAAACAACAACACTAATCTGCTCATCTGGATTAATTTATAGAGAAATATTTTTTTCTAGTTTTTAAGGCAAATACATTATAAATAGTAATAATAATTTGAGTACATAAAAAATTTTATATCGGGCAAATAATAGACTCTGATTCTGTTGAAAGTACAAATAAAATCACAACTAAATGTATGGATTTTGTTGGTTCACATAGCTAGTTTTGTGGTGAATTATTCATCTGTGCTTGTCAATACAAAATATTTGTTTGCCCTTGTAATCTTTACTTGAAATCTGAAAGTGCACTTCTGGTTTGTTTTTTGTTACATTTTCAGATTAGGTCTATCTGAGGTATTGGACATGGTTAACATACTTAATTTCGCCCCTCCGACTGTCAGTTTTGTCAATAAACAAAAATAGTGAGGGGGAGGTGTCTGGTAGGCTGTGATAACCATTATTATTCATTAAAAGTAAACCATTAAAATTCATTTCCCGATCTCGCAAATAAAATTTGAGCAAAAAGCTCTCAGTAGAAAAAAGACAAGCCACGCCCACCGCTTTCTCTTTTAATATGTTGTTTCTGGAACTGCGTCACAATGGGGAAAAACACAAACAAATAAAAAACGGTCGCAGATTCCGGTTTATGTGGACTTTAAATTGAAAATGTTTACTGAATTCTCATGCTGTGTAACAGTAAACGCCACCTTTCACATCACGTAATATAACGTAAAACCATCCAATAAAGGCAGAGCAAACCATCACAAACAAACGGGGGAGAAATCCGCAAATCCACACAACTAAACACATCAACATATGTAAACTGTACATGTGTTTGAGCTCTATGAATAAATGATAATAAATCAAATGATGGCTCTTACTACAGTAAAAAGTAATCCAGTCTATTTGTATTTTTTACAGTAACTAGTTAATTACACACAACACTTGTAATAAATAAGCAAATTACTCAAGTTAAAACCAATACAAATATAGAAATGACAACAGTGCTTAATATTTTTCTGGCTTTTTGTTTTTGCTGTTGATTAAGGTTAATGATGACAGCAGGTAAAGCTTCTGTCACTTGAAGAAATGAACTATCTTTAAAGCCATTAGTGTCCATTCATCTGTGTTGTTTAGTTGGCTCTTGCACTGCAACACATTTGTGAATGAGTGTTAAGATATGCTTTTTTCCCCCTCTAGATTTGGCAGGTGTCAACAGGACAGCCTGGTTCTTCACAAGAGTAAGTGTAAATGGCAGTGGAAACTGTGCTGAATACTCAAACCAATCCTGTACTGAAGATTACTGATTTACTGTGTCTTGTTTACAGCGTCAAGCCATTTTCACAGCAGAACTACCCCATCCAGACCACCACTGCAATCGCAGGTGTGTGTGTGTATTCTTTTTACAGTCATACTCTAGAAAGAAAAACACTTACTTTTCTATATATTTATAGTTGGATGAGCCACTAAAAGTTGTTGTTTTCATCATCACTGTGTTTATTTATGAAATAACAATTTAAACATAATTATAACAAACAATTCCATGTTCCAACATTTGTTGTGATTGATTGTTGTAATTACTTGCAAGAATTGGTATTAGTGTTTTTTTTTAATGATATATAACTGACTGAAATATAATATTGTATATAAAAAAATTCTCTACATTATATACACACAATATAAATATACTATACACAATATATTAAATTTAAAGACTATATATATATATATATATATATATATATATATATATATATATATATATAGTAAAAAAAAATACATTACAAATATGTTCTTTTGATGGCACCTATGTTTAGTGAAATATACAGTACATTCATAGTTAATCTGCTCTTGTGTTATTGTGTGCTTCATTGCTCATGTTTGTGTGTGTGTGTGTGTGTCTGTTCAGCTTATGAGTCTTCTACAGCTCTTTCTGCTGCTGTGCCGCCATGGCACGGTCGATCCATCGGCACCTCCAAACTCAGACTAGTGGAGTTTTCAGCCTTTCTGGAGCATCAGCGAGACCCAGATTTAGTGAGTCACACACACACACACACACACACATGCACTGCAGAGACATGGCCTTGAGTTGATTCACCTGCTGCTCAACAATCTACTGTACTGAAGACACGTATAAGTAAAATGAAGAAATCACACAAGCGCTATTCACTGATGACTTCAGCCAGCTCTCCAATTTATATCAGTTTATTTATCAGATGTATGATTACTCTTTAATGGAATCTTATAACATTAACTAGATATACAACTTAAAGCAAAGCCACAAACAATTTAAAGCGAAGCCACATAAACATCTTCAGCTTATTTACTTAATGAAGCCTTTTTTTAAAACAGATGCGATTTTGATCAAGAGAGTGTCCGAATGCATTTTTTATTTATTTTTTTAAAGCCCTGATCTAAGTACAGTCCACACATTGAAGACAGTGGCACGTACAAAGTAGAAGCCCAGGTTAACTAAAATATGGTGCGTCAGTGTAAAAGCAGAGCTGAGTAATGGATCATGTTGGCAGTGTCCCTCTGCTCTGTCTGACGGCACACATTAATCTTCTGTTCTCAATACAGTAAACGCACAACACATACCTCAAACCACTTCACAACTGCTATATTACTCGCACAAACAGCACTTGGGAATAGCATTTGAACTTGAAAACTTATCTTAGTGTTGAACAGTTATTCCTAAACAAGTATATGCTAGTTTAAGATATCGTTGACACAAAAAATAAAAAAAGGGCATTAAAAAATGACAAATCTTGGTTTTCTGATATTTAAAACACAGAAGATATTTTGAAGAGTGTTGGAAGCCATTTAAATCTCAAGTAGGAATAAATACTACAGTACCTGACAAAGGTTTTGTCATCAATTCCAGTTGTAAGAGCAAAATAATAACAAATAATAGCTTGACTTCTAGTTGATCATTTGGAAAAGTGGTGGATTTTTCAGATGAATCGGTTGATCTGCATCCCAATCATCACAAATACTGCAGAACACCTGCTGGAACCTGCATGGACCCAAGAATTTCATAGATATCATAGATATCTTCAGCAGGATAGCGCTCCTTCTTATACTTCAGCCTCCACATCAAAGTTCCTGAAAGCAAAGGAGTTCAAGGTGCTCCAGGATTGACCAGCCCAGTCACCAGACATGAACATTATTGAGCATGTCTGAGGTAGGATAAAGGAGGCATTGAAGATGAATCCAAACAACCTTGATAAACTCTGGGAGTCCTGTAAGAATGCTTTCTTTGTCATTTCAGATGACTTTATTAATAAGTTATTTGAGTCATTGCAGAGATGAATGCATGCAGTCCTCCAAGCTCATGGAAGTCAAACACAATATTAATTCTGTTTCCACTGCAGCATGACTTTATATTCTATACTGCACATTATTACGGTTAAGTGACAAGACTTGTGTCTAAGCAAAGTTAGACATTACTGTGCTAATTTAATAATTAAAAATCAAGGCATGATCATATTTTATTTTGGTATAATAAGCGTAATCTAGAGGCCTTTGCCTTTCCTATAAGCTATTTATACCAAATGATCAACTAGAAGTCAAGTTATTATTTGTGCTTTCTAAAACTTGGATAGGCGGCAAGACTTTTGTCAGGTAGTGTACACTTATTGTAATTGAAAAAACTACTATTGATGTCAATGGTGAGTGGTTTCCAGCATTCTTCTAATTATATGGTTCAGGTTAAATGACACAATTTTGCGGTGAACAGTCTCTTTAATTTTCTGTTGTATTGTTGCGTTGATCTAATGTTTGTCGTTTGATTTGTGCAGTACAACAAGCATCTGTTTGTGCACATCGGCCAGACGAATTACTCGTACAGCGACGCGCTGCTGGAGACGGTGGATATTCGTCAAATTTACGACAAATTCCCAGAGAAAAAGGGAGGATTAAAGGAGCTGTTTGGAAAGGGACCACAGAACGCCTTTTTCCTCGTCAAGTTCTGGGTAAGTCTTTCTGTGATGAATCTGAGTCTATGATCATCTCCCTACATATTGTGATCAATTTAAATTATGTCATACATACACATATATATATATATATATATATATATATATATATATATATATATATATATATATATATATATATATATATTGTAGCGAGGCAGAGGGAAAACAGCGGCACAACAGGATGAGTTTACAGACAAGTCCCCGGAGGGTGCTTTATTTACAAAGTGTGGGTTGTGTAAAAGGTGCTCTTCTTTAAGGTGAGGTGCTCTGGTGCTCCGGGAAGTAGGTGAAGGACAGTGAGTAGTCGGGTGAAGGATCGTCACGAGCTGGAGTCCGCTACGGAGAGACAGAGAGACAAGCATTAGCACAGGGAGTCATAGAAAGAATGAAGCTCATCTTCTCCTGGCGTAGGTTGGGCTTATATGCCTCTCTGCTTGATGCCGTCCAGCTGTGAGCGATCCTGGCTTGATGATGGTCCAGCTGGGTGAAATTAACGACCAGGGCGACGTGGCATATAATCGCTCGCTACTATATATATATATATATATATATATATATATATATATATATATATATATATATATATATACCACGATTTATTTGTCACGGTTAATTATTCGTAAAGGCTTCTCAACACTGTGTTTCTGCACGGAACAAAACTGCTGCAACAAAAAGTTACGCCAACTGTGCGCAAGTTTAAAGTCTAAAGCTTGTGCACCGAAGCTAATAACTACGCACACTGGAATAACTATGCTGAGGCTATGAACTTAATAAAGTCAATGGAGGCGCACGGCCTTGCGTGTGCATGTTGCGGGTGCACGCTTTCTAGGCGAACCTGTTTGAAAGAATGCCCTGAGCACACTACGAGTTACGTGACAAGATGGACGATTCCATAGTTTTTATGGAATTTACACATTTCTACTTTCTATTTCTAGAAAAAAAAAACATACAAAATTAAAAAACATACCAGTCAATTTTGTAATATAATTGATCAAAAGTGTCTTTCAAACTGAGGTTCAGCAGCCTTTGACTACATTTATTCTCTTTAAAAGGGAAATGCTTTGCTAATATGCTTAGATTTACATTAGACAAACACAAAATGTTTTTATTTATTGATTGATCTGTCATTTATATTACTCTATTGTTTGTTGTTATTAGTATTTTGTGCTGTATTATTTGGTTTCTGAGCAGCAATTAATAACACTAAAATACAAAGAGTTTTGTTCATTTTCAAAATTAGTAGTGTTTAAAAATTAATGAATGCATAATAATCGTGAAACTGCGTTTATTCCTCAGACTATAATCGTACAACCAAAATCTATAATCATTGCATCCCTTTTGTCAATATAAAACTTCACATTTAAAAAAAAAAAAATAAATATATATATATATATATATATATATATATATATATATATTTTTTTTTTTTTTTTTTTTTACATTGCCTGTCATGAAGTTAATGTTAAACATTTAAAATGAATATGTTTATATTTAATTAAACTAAAGGAAATATGTAATCCAAATATAGCCTTGTACCTTTTCACCCACCCTGTAATATAGTTTAAGACTAAACCTCAAAAGAACTCATAACACAAATGAAGGCAAAGTTCTAGAATCCTCCAAATATCAGCCTTTGTTGTAGATGTGAGCTGTTGTCCTGCATGAGTCTGAAGTGAAGCAGCTGAATGTGTACAACATGTTGTGCTGTGATTAAAGTGCAGTGTTAAAGCCAGCAGTGGCGTATTTAATCCAGGCCGCTCTCGGTGTGTCCTTTAATACTGCTGCTGCTGCTGGATTTGATAGGGAGCCTTTATTTGAACACCTGCCGCTCTGAGCGACAGGTGCAAGAACACAGCAACACCTCCTGAAACACACACACATACACGTACGCTCTCTGCAGGACAAACACACACGTGCTGTTTCACTCTGGAAGAATTTTCTGTTCTTTGTAAATGAAATTTTATTAAATGTGACAGAGTTTTTCTGGCCTTGATAAATATGTTAAGACAGATACTGATATACAGTGTATATATTAGGTGCAGTTCAGAACTGTAATAAAGGATAGATGCAATATACTGTAAACTGCATTCAGACCAGGGTGACGAGAGTGTCAAAATTAGCTACATTGAGCTCATATTTAAAGCAGTTATTGCAGCATAATCAGCAAATCAGTTAAATTCCTGCATAAAAACAAGCTGTATAGCATGAAATATTTGCACGACTTTTATCAAATTTATTTCACTGTGGAGATCAAGTTGCTGCGTGTGGTTTGGCTATATGTGTCCATGTCAGAAATATTCTTAAGCAGCAATACTGTTTTGTACTGTCATGATAGTTAGCATTAGATTCCTGCTTTTTAAAAAAAACATTTATAACAGTAATGCACATCAGTAACTTTAAAAAAAAAAAAATATATATATATATATATTTTATATATATATATATATATATATATATATATATATATATATATATATATATATATATATATATATATATATATTTACATGTTAATATTACATATAAAAAATATATATATTTATGTGCCTGTTAGAAAACCTTGTAAATAACTGAATCTAGTGGCCGCAATATTAAATCTTTTGGGAACAACTGTGGTTGGAATCAAAGTTCAAAGGACTGTGTTCTCTGGAATCCTCTCATACATTCTGATTGGTTGCCGCCAAACCGCATCATACGTGGCTTATTACCATAAAATTGACTTGATTTCAACTCTCCTTGATGGCCAGACATGCGAGGACGCACCACATATTGCCACTAGCTCCACTTAAAAGTGAATGACTCCCGGCTACTTTGACACTCTTGTCGCCTTCAGTGTGAACACACCATAATAGTTGCATGTCACAAATAAATGTATAGACCAGAGGTGTCAACTCAGTCCTGAAAGGCCGGTGTCCTGCTAAGTTTAGCTCCAACATGCGTCAACACACCTGCTGGAAGTTTCCAGTATATCTAGTAAGAGCTTGATTAGCTGCTTCACGTGTGTTTGATTAGGGTCGGAGCTAAACTCTCCAGGACATCGGACCTCCAGGACTGAGTTTGGACACCCCTAATATAGACAAACTACAAATTTCACAATCCTGAAATTACTAAATAATTGCTGATTATAAATCGGTACATATGACAGTTTACAATAATTACAATAATAATTCAATTCAAGTTGCTCAGATATAGTTCTTCTTTGCAAGTTGCAATTCAGATTGTTTTCGTTGCCTGGTCTCGATTTCTGCTACAACATTCGGATGGTAGGGTCAGAATTGGGTGTCAACAGCATGAAAGCATGGATCCATCCTATCAACGGTTTAGGCTAGTGGTGTAATGGTGTGGGGGATGGTTTCTTGGCACACTTTGGGCCCATTAGTACCAGTTGAGCATCCTGTCAATGCCACAGCCTACTTGTATGTTGCTGACCAGCAGGATTTCCAGTAGGATAAGGTGCCATGTCATAAGCCGCAAATCATCTCAGACTGGTTTCTTGAACATGACAATGAGTTCACTGTACTAAAATGGCCTCTACAGTCACCAGATCTCTGCACCTTTGGGATATATTGAAACGGGACATTCTCATCATGAATGTGCGTCCAACAAATCTGCAGAAACTGTGTGATGCTATCATGTCAATATCAAAAATCTCTAAGGAATATTTCCAGGCCCTTGTTTAATCTGTGCCACGAAGGATTAAAGCAGTTCTGAAGGCAAAAGGGGGTCCACCCTGGTAATAGTAAGGTGTACTTGGTGGTCACACTTTAGAGGGATTGGGTTTTCACTTTTTTCACACAGGGCACATATGTATATATTTGGGCATGTATGCATACATATGTTTTGTGTGTGTGTCAAGATTTGAAGTGGAACAAAATAGTCCTAAAAAATGTTATTTAATTGTTCTGGAACTTTGACTCAAATCTAATCAAAAAGCTTTCATCACCAGATGTTTATGTACTCTATGTACGGCTGTCAAAGTTAACACGTTTCCATGGCAATGGTTAATAACTCATTTTAATGGCAATAACTGACTTAACTCCACGTGTTTTCTGTTTGATCCGTGCCCTTCCCTGTAGTTGGCATATGCTGCCAGTAAAGAATGCAGCACCCTTTGGCAAAGATGAATGAAACCGGTATAAATGATAAGATCATATAGAAAAGGATGATAATTCTGTCAACAACAAAAAATGAACAGTACAGTATCTGCATTTATTGTGGATGTGACTTTATCACAGCAACTCTTCTCCCCATCGTCAAATGCAGACCATAGATAGTTTGGAGGGACTACACAAGACGTGTGTATCTTAAAACGTGTGTGTGTGTGTTTGTGTGTTTTAAATGATATTTCTCTTTTCATAGAGAACTTCACTAAGCATTATACAGTATGTAGAGCAGCTGGCATCCGAGGTTCATTTCAAATTTGATTTCAGCTTTTAATTTCTGTCAATTTTAAATGAACGTTTGACCGACTTTCTTTAATCTTTTACATGAAAGATTGATTGATAGACATTAAGTCTATTGATGAAAAACTGTTTGTCATATATAAATGCATCAGGTTTGATGTAATCTCTCAATCATTATTGTTTCGTCTGCATGTTAGTAGCTGAACGGCGTGTAAATGATGTAAACAAACGTTACTTTCACCACAGAAAAGCCATTTAAATGCTCATGAGCTACAGAAGAGCGTTTGGCTGAATATTAAATGACATGGGAACACGTCACAATACAGGATATTATTATTATAAAGTATTAAACAAATGATGAACGATACACTTCCTTAAGGATTTATTTATGTTTGTTACCGGTAATGAACGAACAATGCTTAACCTTGTTTTCATGTTGCCTCATGGTTTATTAACTAACAAGCACAGCACTTGATTTTAATAATGCATTAATAAATGTTGAACAATGAATTATTAGACAGGCATTATTTATGTTAGTAAATACAATTACTATGTTAAAGGGGCTAAAAATACAATTAATAATAAATAAAACTGCTTTTATTCTAGCCTAAATAAAACAGACTTTGTCCAGAAGAAAAATATATTATCGGAAATACTTGAAAAATTCATTGCTGTTAAATATCATTTGGAAAATATTTGAAAAGAAAACAAATTCACAGGAGGGTGAATAATTTTGACTTCTGCTGTATCTCTATATCTTTCATCAGTAAAATAAGGCAGCAGGTGTCTGTGGCCTTGATAAACGGCACTATTTAATAAAGCTTCCCATTTACATAAAGCGTTTCTTGCTCAACTGTATGCAAAAGCTGAGGTTCAGCTTTGCACGTCTGTGTGTGTGTGCGCATGTGCGTGTGCTCGCTTATCTCTGCTCATCAAGCTTTTGTTTAATGTGTCTGCAGGCCGATCTAAACTGTAACATCCAAGAGGATTCGGGCTCTTTCTATGGTGTGACCAGTCAGTATGAGAGCTCAGAGAACATGACCATCACCTGCTCCACAAAGGTCTGCTCCTTCGGCAAACAAGTGGTGGAAAAGGTGGAGGTGAGGAATCCGCTGAATAGATCATTCAATTGCTACTTGCATACAATTATTTCAATCTTAATTTAAGATGTTTCTCTAATATTTTAAATCATTTACTTGCTAAATATTTTTATATGCAAAAAAATCTAAAATGAACATTTTTCTCAGGCTCCTGTGTGTTCAGCAATTTCACTTGAATAGATTCTTTTCAGTGCCTTTAAAGTGAAATATCTGGACATACAGGGAACAGACAAATGCAGAAAATACCAGATGGCACTTAGAGGCTTATAAATCTGAGCTCTTCATTTGTTACATTGTTGTGTAATTTTTTTAATTTGTTTGTGATCGATTCATATTTGTATGAAAAGTACAATTATTAAAATATAATTTAATTGTAATTGTTTTAGAAAGCTTGATGTAACAATATTGCCGTTTTGAAAATACACATCAAATTATTTATTTACTATTTATAAAGTAGCTTGTTCCTCTTTTGTAAGTCACTTTGGATAAAGGTCTCTGCTAAATGACGTGTCTTTGTTTATGAACCTGCATTATTTCCAAACAATATTTATCTTATTTTCTAAATAAACGTAAGTATAAAGCAAGTAATGCATATTGCATGTAAATATTAGATTTTAAATACAGTATTATTTATAGAATATATTTTTTATTATATTTATATATTGTCATTTTAATATATTTTATAAATGCATATTACATGTAAATATTACATAAAAATTATATTAAAATGACATTACATAAATAAAACTATTTAATAAGCATTTTGATGTAAATAGTACAAAACAATTCTATAAAAAATTTATATTTTGTATTTTATATGTAATATTTACTTGAAATTACTTAAAAAATACAGTTTTATGTAATGTCATTTATATATAATACACATTTAATACATGCAGTATTTGATTGCTTAAAGTATTATATTTTATTTTAATATAATTCATAGGCAATTAAATATGTATTACATATAAATATTACATATAAAAAACTGGATTTTCTTTATTGAATGTCTTTTTTATATGATTTATGAGCAGTTTCATGTTAATATTACATATACTATATCTCATTTATTTAATGTCATTTTCATTTAATGTCATTAACTTTAAGTTATTAAATATGTATTACATGTAAATATTACATATTAATTAAATCAAAATAACATTAAATAAAATGCTGTTAAGTAGTGTATTACATGTAAATATCAATTATAAAATCGCTAACACTTTGATTTGATGGTCCGTTTGAGTATTAGTCTGCTTAATATCAATTGATAGCGCTCCTTCAACAGGCGTTTAACTGACTATAAGAAACTTTGCAAGTGCATGTCAACTTGCACTAACCCCAACCTAACGGTCTACTTACACTCTAATGAGAATTAGTTGGCATGTAGATGCACGGTAACAAATTCATAAATTGGTCTATCAAAAGAAATTGTGACCATAAAATGCAGTATTTTATTTAATGATTTACATATCATTTCTAAGCAATTAAATGTGTAGCAAGTAAATATTACATATAAAGTATATTCAAATTGCAATAAATAAAACTATTATTGACACGTAATATGCATTTAATTGCTTAAAAAATACAGTATTTTATGTATTTAATGCCGTTTTAATAAACTTACCATATTAAACTTGTAATATTTACATATAATACGCATTTTATTGCTTATAAATTGTATTTAAAATGACAATACATAAAATATAATATTTATTAGGCAATCAATTGCATGTAAATGTTAATATAAAATTCTTAACATAAAAAGATATTAAAATGCCATTAAATAAATCCAGTATAATATAAGAGATTAAATGCGCATTGTAAATATTACATATAAAAATGACATTACATAAAATACTGTATTTTATATGTAATATTTACACGTAATAGGTATTTAATTGCTTATAAATGATTTTAAAATGACATTAAATAAATAAAATCCAGTATATTATATGTAATATTAACATGGAAAATGCATGTAATTGCTTATCAAATACTGTATTTTATTTATTAAATGTAATTTTAATATCAATTATATTTACATGTAATACGCATTTAATTGCTTATAAATTATATTAAAATAATATAAAATACAATACAGTATTTTATAAGCAATTAAATGCATGTAAATATTACATAAAGCCAATAAAATGACCATAAATTGAATTATATTAAATAAATTAAATGCGCATTACATGTTAATAATACATATAAAATAATAGTAATTTTAACATAATTTACGTGTAATATTTACATGTTATACACATTTAAATGCTTATAAAATACAGCATTTTATTTATTTAATGTCATTTAAATATAATTTATAAGCAATTAAATGTGTATAACGTAAATATTACAGATAAATCGTATTATGACAATAAATAAAAACAGTACTTTATAAGCAATTAAATGCTTATTACATGTTAATAATAGTATTTAATGCCATTTTAATTTACGTTATATGCAATATTTACATGAAATACGCATTTTATTGCTTATAAATGATATCAAAATGACATTAAAAAAATCAAACTGTATTTTATAAGCAATTAAATGCGCATTATATTAAAAGTACATGAAATAATCATTTTTAATTGCTCTCCTATCCAGACTGAATATGCTCGCTTTGAGAATGGCCGTTTTGTCTACAAGATCAGCCGATCGCCCATGTGTGAATACATGATCAACTTCATCCACAAGCTCAAACACCTGCCAGAGAAATACATGATGAACAGCGTCCTCGAAAACTTCACTATACTACTGGTACGTCTCTCTCTCTCTCTCTCTCTCTCTCTCACACACACACACACACACACACACACACACACAGTCCACATCAATACATCATCAGCTGCAGCAGCGTCTTATCTGTGCTCGTCTCCACAGGTGGTGTCCAACAGAGAAACTCAAGAGACTCTGCTCTGCATGGCGTGTGTTTTCGAGGTGTCCAACAGTGAACACGGCGCTCAGCATCACATCTACAGACTGGTCAAAGATTGAGGTGTGCTCGATAACACTAAAAACACTGAGGCGTTCAGCTGACGGACTGACTAAAGCCTCGTAAAACCTCATGCCTCTAGTCCTTCTCTTAAGGCTTTGCTTGGGTGAATAATTACATCATCGTTTGTTTCTATCTCTCGTGTTTCTGTGTTTTTTTCTTTAACCTGTCGTGTGGGTGAAGCGGTACAGTTTGTTCAGACGTCGGTTGATGTTTTAAACCACATTAGCGTGTCTTGCTTGTTCTATAGAGTCGTATTGTTTCTGTTCCACCGCTGATCTACATTTCAAAGACTTGGCCCCTGGTATTTTTTGAGGGATTTATTTTGAATGGACGAGCACAGAAAGGTACTGTATTATTTATGAGGAACTACCTGCCTTACAGAACGCACATGAGCTGTGAGCCACCGTTACAGATGCTACAACACTAACAAACCTTTACTCTATCTTACACAATCGCTTTAGACTGTGGATTTCCTTTGCTTTCCTTTAAAGGTGAAGTGTGTAACCTTTTTTTTATTATTATTTAAAAAATAAGTTTCTGAGCCAGCTTATAATGCACAGAAAGACATCTTATTATATTAGTTAATCCAAAACCTAAACCCCGTCCTGTTGTCTAGAAGACGATTTCCACCACAGAACAAAAACTGAAATGCTAGTTCCAAATATAAGACGGAATGTTTTTGGTCAGTTCTGATGACTTTTTTTCTTCAAAAGGAGGAAGATAATGATTAACAGGTTATAAATATGAGAGGTTATAACTTACAACTGTGAGATATGAACTTGCAGATTATATATCAGAAACAAAAGTCCACATTCGACACAAAAGTAGCATGTGTTAATGTAGTAGTCACGTGTTTCAGTTCTGAGATATATTAGCGGCGTTTAAAACTCACAGTTTTGCTTTAGAAACTGTTTAGAAGTCTAAGATGTGCTAATAGATCACTGATAGAAGCTGGTCTATACTTCTGCACCGAGTGATCGGCGTGACCCATGGCACCAGTCTTGCGCGTAAAGCATGGTTTATACTTCTGCGTCAAGTGATCTGCGTAACCCACAACGCATACAACACGCGTAGCTGTGCATTCCTACTTTTGCGCGCCGATTCTGTTGGTCTGCCATTTTTTGATAGGTGCGCGTCACTGACGACTACGGCGGAGGCTATGCATCCATGCGTAGGCTGCGCCTTAGCATACGCTTGCGCTTGACGCAGAAGTATAAATCAGCCTTAATCGTGCATTTACACTTCTGTGTGCTGTTGGTGTTACTATGTTCCTGTGTCGAGTTTCTTCGCAGGTGTTTTGTTTTTTCCTGAATGCTACATAATGTACAAGTAGCTAAAAATTGCTCATTCTGAGTTGGGAACCGGTCTCCATCTGGAGCTCCTTCATGGCACTCGACTGGGCTCTCACCCCAGCCCACGCTCGACAGTGTCACCAAGCCGATTAATCTCAGAGCTTGTGGTACGTGTGGTTGCAATGTATAGTTACATTTTTTTGAGAGGTGTGCAACGATGTCAGCCACGGCAAGGGGTAATACAGACTATACACGTGCGCTTGACTTAAAGTGCATCTTACAATTTGGACTTTTCTTTTTACAGATGCAAGTTTTCATGATTACAATTGCCAAAAATCTGTATTAGCCAGGGCAAGGGCTATGCGGCTGCGTGAAAGGTTCCGCCGGAGCATACGAGTGTGTTTGATGCATAAGTATAAATCAGCCTTTAGTCTGGTTCAGATTTTTGACAATTATTATGACATAAATTTGCATATGTAAAGAAAAGTCCAAATTGTAAGATACAAGTCCCATGTTTATCATATTCTGATATAACAAATGCAATTCAGACTTTTTTCTCAACATTGCAACTCTGAACAGCAAGTTTAAATTTAGAATTGTGAGATAGTCGCATTTATAAGTCGGACGTTGCTTGAGTCGAAGAGTTAAATCCAGCGTGGAAAGTAAGTATTGAACACGTCACCATTTCTCAGAAAACATCTTCTAAAGGTGCTGTTGACCTGAAATTGTCGGTGGATGTTGGTAACAACCTGAGAAACCCATATATGCAAAGAAAACAAATTTAATTAGTTTACAAATGAAGTTATTTGTAATAAAATGAAAGGACACCAGGAGAACCATTGAACACACAAAGAAAGGGAAGCTGAAATCTCTCAGTAGTTCTTCACCAATCCTCTGCCCTTCATCATTGTAAATGAATATTAGCTGCTTCAGTCCAACATCTACATTATCAGGATGATGAAGAGGAAACCAGGGTAGACATTTCAGCAAGACAATGATCCAAAACACAGCCAAGGGAATTCTTCAATGCTTTTAGAGAAAGAAAATCAAGATGTAGAATGGCCCAGCCAATCACCTGACTGGAAAAGATACAAAACAAAGCTCAGATTTGATAGACGAGACCCCCAGAATCATCAAGATTTTTACACTCTGTTGAAGTCTGTAAAAGACTGAGACCTGGGCAATACATTAAATGTCTTTATATAAAAGGTTTTTAATGATGGCAGCTTAAAGTATTGAATCTGTGTCAGTAGTTCAGTTCTTTCTCCTTGTGTCATTTCATTGTTAATGCACGTAACTCATGTTTCAAATTATTTTGTTTTGTTTTTGGGTTTTTACCAAACTCTGCTTCATTTCCATGTCAACAGCTCCTTTAGAAATATTATTACCAGGAAAAAATACTTCTTTTCCCTGCTGTATACCGGACTATTATAAGTTGCATACTCATATACTGAGATATAATAGTCAAAACTGCACAATTCTAACTTTTTTCTTAAAATTAAAGAGCTGAACTTGCAGAAACTCTGTTTTTGTAAAATCTTGCAGTTGGGAGGGGAAAAAGGTCAGTTGTTAGATTGAATAGTTTCTTTTAAAACTTCTGTGGTGGAATGAAGCTTCAGTACTGATGCACATTGAAAATGTATTAAATACTACACAACAACACTCTTAACCAGTGGCGTGATTCAGGGTTGGACTATTATTCCATCACTAGCATATCCATTAAATCCATAAGGTGGCGCCACTGCTGCTAAATGACTGACTTCAGCTTTAGGAAACTGGTGTTTTCCCCCATTTCAGAGCAGGCAACACGAGAAAGGGAATTTACAAAGCAAAATCACCAAAGCATACTGTGCCTTAGTGTTCATAATCGCAGACGTTGTATAATTGTGAGAACATTAATAACCTCACAAAGTTTGTGTTCAACAAAAAAAATGGACCGTATTTTTTTGTGGTGCCAGCGTAAAGTCTGTTCATAACAAGGATGATAACTAAATGGACAATAAAGACTCGTATGAACGTTACGAATTTTAAAGTACGGAATACTGCAATTAATAAAACATTAATAGAAAAAAATAGAAAGCTGCCAATCAAACCAACAGCCAATCAGAATCCATCCTGCTTTTAAAAAGACATACACAAAAACACGTTTGTTCTGCTAACGTTATAGATATTGTTCTTGATGTGAACAGACCTTAAAGGGATAGTTCAAACAAAATTGAAAATTCTGTCATCATTTTTGTTCGATATTCTGTTGAGACAGATTAAATAAGATATAATGACCTTTATTGACTTCCATTACATTTGTTTTGCTACTACTAAAGTCAACGACTTCTAGTTTCAACAATCATCAAATTTTGTGTTCAGTGTCAAATAAATTGAGTAACTTTTTATTTTTGTGTGAACTATCCCTTATTCTGAAATACGTCACGTTTCAATCTTGTACACCAAATAAACCAGCCTGATCTCTCGAAGAAAACAACTATTTAACATTTTGTTAGTTTAGTCGCCAATTCATATGAATTTAGTTGTACAAAAATGTACGATTTTAAAAAGGAGGCATCATCTGGGGATGAACGAATCGTACGATCATACGAATTCATACAAATTAGCCACTAAATCAAAAGGTTAGGAACTGCCGTGAAATCATGTTGAAATAAACACAATCATCACTTCAATTCATGCCAAGTAAAAGCTACAGGTGTTGAAAGTGCCTTTTGTGTGTTCTTTTCCAGCTCAGAAATATTTTGACACCAAAAAAAAAAAAAAAAAGACAAAATGAGAGTCAGATTTGGATTCTATCACCGTAATGCCTTTGACATTGTCAAAAAAAATCACGAGATCTGAAACTGATAGCTCATAAGTGGATGTTTGCTTTTGTTTGTCAGTGCATTATTGGTGTTGTGTACATAAGGGAAGGGCGATATATGATTTAATGACATCAGTGCTTACGGATTCCTCATTTCTCGAGGTGAAATAAATCTGACTGTGGATCTCGGTCTTGTTCACCACACAAGAATGTGTTTTTGTTGCTTTGTTTTTGTCGGCCATGTCTCTGTTAGGAAAGTGAGCATTGAAACCGAACACTAATGTCTGTGACGGCTGTTTTCCCGGAGAGCACTGAAGAGTTTTGGCTAGCTGTTTTTAATAGATGGACTCATGTCTGATAATTGTTTTCAATTGTGGATATTTTCATTAAGGGAGGGCGGGGGACACGAAAAAGAAAATAAACTTTTAGTGTTTGTACTGGAAACTGGTCTGCTTTGTCCTTTGAGATTTTTTTACTTTTTATATATAAATGAATGTACACTACCTGACAAAAGTCTTGTCGATCTCAGTTATAAGAGCAATAAAAAATAATACATGATTTCTTGTTAATTGTTTGGAAAAGTGTCAGAAGGAAGATTTTTCAGATGAATCATCGGTTTATCTGCATCCCAATCATCACAAATACTGCAGAAGACCTGCTGGAACCCGCATGAACCCAAGTTTTCACAGAATCAGACAAGTTTGGTGAAGGATAAATCATGGTTTGGGTTTGCATTCAGTATGGGGTGAGGTATCAAGACATTTGTGCTGGCCATTACAAACTACAGAAAAGGGCAAATTCTTCAGCAGGGTAGCGCTCCTCCTCATACTTCAGCCTTCACATCAAAGTTCCTGAAAGTAAAGAAGGTCAAGGTGCTCCAGGATTGACCAGCCCAGTCACCAGATATGAACATTATTGAGCATGTCTGGGGTAAGATGAAGAAAGCATTGAAGATGAATCCAAACAACCTTGATAAACTCTGGGAGTCCTGTAAGAATGCTTTTTTTGTCATTCCAGATGACTTTATTAAGTTATTTGAGTCATTGCAGAGATGTATGAATGCAGTCCTCCAAGCTCATAGGAGTCATACACATTATTAATTCTTTTTCCACTGCACCATGACTGTATATTCTATACTGTACATTATTTCTGTTAAGTGACAAGACTTGTGTCTAAACAAAGTCAGACCTTACTGTCCTAATTAAAAAAAATTTAAAAAATCAAGGCATGATCAAATTTTATTTTTTATAAAATAAGCCTGATCTGATACCAAACGATCAACTAGAAGTCAAGATATTATTTGTTGTTCCTAAAACTTGGATTTGCCAGGTAGTGTGCATTTGCTATATACATTTTTTAACAAATGTACTGCTCTACAAATCCACTAGGTGTCAGTACATTGCAAATAATAAGACATCAACTCAGTTTTATCCGCAGTTCTATTCCCCACAATGACTTTACTCTTTAATGAGACCGAATACAATTTAAAATGTCAACAATAAAGGTAACAATAATAATAACTTAAGATATATATCATTATGTAAAGAGAGAGTGTATTATTATTCATGCAAAATAAATTATTATTGGTATCAGTAGTAATAGTTGCAATCAGGATTATTAACACCCCCCTGAATTATTAGCCCCTCTGTTTATTTTTTCCCCCCAATTTTTGTTTAACAGAGAGAAGATCTTTTTCAGCACATTTCCAAACATAAGTTTTAATAACTCATTTCTACTAACTGATTTATTTTATCTTTGCCATTATAACAGTAAATAATAATTGACTAGATATTTTAAGACACTTATACAGCTTAAAGTGACATTTAAAGGCTTAACTAGGTTAATTAGGTTAACTAGGCAGGTTAGGGTAATTAGACAAGTTATTGAATAATGATGGTTTGTTCTGTAGACTATTGGAAAAAATATATAGCTTTAAAGGGGCTCATTATATTGACCTTTTTTTAAAAAATAAAAACTGCTTTTATTCTAGCTTAAATAAAACAAAAAAGAAAAATATTACTATATACTAAATAAAGATCTATAGCCATGTATCATAAGTATTATTATTATTGGTAGTAGTAGTAGAAGTCTATAATTTTATGAATTTTAATATTACATTATTTTTTGTTTTACATATTAATAAGAAAATTATAATAAATAAAATTAATAATTATAAAAATAATCTTAAAGCAAAACATTGACGTGTTACATATTGTAAATAGAGATACTATTTATAAAAGTCAGAATTATTAGCACCCTGTTTATTTTCCCCTGCTTTATTTTATCTTTGCCATGATGACAGTAAATAATATTTTATTAATGATATTTACCTAGGCAGGTTAGAGTAATTAGGCAAGTTATTGAATAACGATGGTTTGGTCTGTAGACTATTGAAAAAAATATCGCTTAAAGGGGTTAATCATTTTGACCTTAAAATCATGTTAAAAAAATTAAGAACTGCTTTTATTCTAGCCGAAATAAAACAAATAAGACTTTCTCCAGAAGAAAAAAAATATCAGACATACTGTGAAAAATTCATTGCTCTGTTAAACATAATTTAGGAAATATTTAAAAAATAAAAATATAATAATAATAATTCTGACTTCAATTGCATATTGTTATTGTTACTATTTTATACATGTAGGAGATAGATAGATAGATAAACAGACAGACAGACGGACGGATATGATCAATCTAGGATAAAAGATCTATGTTATAAATGTCATTATTGTTGGCGTATAGAGGCAGAGAATGATGTTTATTTGATCTGACTGTAATCCTGATGGCCTCACAGTCCACTTCTGCTCTTATCATCTGAGGATTTTACAGTAAATCCACACTGACCGATGGGAAATCTGACCATCCACATCATCATCCTCATAATAATCATAATGTCAGGGTGGTGATTTATTACAGTTTCTGACCTTCTGGTGTGTGGTGTGTGTGTGTGTGTGTGTGTCTAAACTAAATTATTCTTATATGCATCTGCAGTAAATGGAGAAATCAAATATGATGTCGTCAATAACAAAATCATTTCTAAGCTTTTTGATATTTCATGTTGATTTTTACATGTATGTTTTGCATTAATTTGACTTTGAGCTTTTAATAATGAAACTGTAATAATTGATGTGTTGTTCAGTTTTACACGTTGATTAATGAGATGCAGTGTTTTTCTTTTGTTTTTATGATGTAAATATCAGCTGCAACTGTTAAATAACTTATTTCTAAATGTTTTATTTTGAATTTTATATTTATTTTTCAGAACTTTTTCATTTACATTATTAAAATTAAGCAATTTGTAACCGATTTATATACTTTTAACTAATCCTACTTGCTAGTCAAGGACACCGTTTTAGTTTTGTTTGTTTTTTAAACATTTGCTGTAAGGGGAAAATAAGACGCAAACTTTTTAGTAAGTTTTACATTGAAATTAATTTTTGCATTAATTTTTCATTTGAATAATGGAATTTTTTGTAATACTATATGTATATATTTTTATATGCTTTTCAAAACCCCAATACAAAGATTTGTGTGTCATTTCATTGGTTTACAAATTCAGTTCTCAGCAATTTAATTCAGTCACTGATGAACTATTTTAATTATTTTCCCCTCTAAAAATGCCAGAAAGCTCATTGCGGCTTTACTGAAGAGTTTTCTCCGCTATAATAATGAGTAGAGCACTAGTGTCGTCATGTGAGAGTGGGCGGAGCCTGAGCGCTCAGAAACACCGCTGCTGCTGGAGTTCAAACAAACACAACTCCATCTGTCAGCGCGCGCGCACTCTCCGGCTCTCAGTTAACTACTGCAAACCACGTATAACACTTCACGAATGTGATATTAAAAGACAAAGCCGGTCTCGGGGCCTTCGATGTAAATAACGATGGAACAAGAGGAGAGTAAGATATCGGTGTGGGTCTGCCGGGAGGAGAAGTTGGTGTCCGGGCTCTCCAGACGCACCACCTGCGCGGATGTAGTCAAAGTGCTGCTGGAGGACCAGAACTTCCAACAGGGTGCGATGCTCAGCGGTCCTCCGCAGTCCTACTGCATCGTGGAGAAATGGAGAGGGTTTGAGCGGATTCTGCCGAATAAAACGAAAATCTTACGGCTGTGGAGCGCATGGGGGGACGAGCAGGAGAATGTGCGCTTCGTCCTGGTGCGGAGCGACGCGTCGCTGCCCAACAACGGGCCGAGGAGCGCAGAAGCGCGGGTCGTGCTCAGCAAAGAAAGCCCCTGCACCTCCAGAACCACCATGCCATTCTCACAGGAAAAACAGCGGAGGATTGTACGCAAGGCTTTTAGAAAACTGGACAAAATAAACAGGAGGAAAGAAGAAGTTTCGAAAGACAAATCCGCGGAGAAAATGGAAACTCTCGTTCATCTTATTATTTCCCAGGATCATACTATCCGACAGCAGGTACAGCGGATAAAAGAGCTGGATGGCGAAATCGAGAGGTTTGAATCAAAAGTTCACTTCGACAGAATGAAAATTCACGGCGTGAACTATGTTCAGGACACTTATTTGCTGGACCAAGGAGACTCGAGCGCGCGTTCGGACGCGGCTTTGGCGCAGTTTGAGGAATACGCGTCCCGCTGCGACCAAGTCATTCAACTTCAGGAGGAACTAACCGAGAGGGAGGCTCTGATGGAGATCCTGACCGGGGAAATACAAGAGGAACTCAACCACCGGTGGATGAGGAGGAGAAAAGCGGAGCTTTCCGGCAAAGACGCAGAGAGCTCTGGAGAAGAAACGCCTCTGAAGGTGTCTTCAGTCGCTGAGGAATCGCTCCCGGAACACCTGACAGACACCGAACTCCAGTTAGAGGAGGAGAGGATCAAAACTCAACTGGATACTAGTTTATACATAGGGCTGCGCTTGAACACTGATCTGGAGACGGTGAAGAGCGACTTGGACATGAGTCAGGAGCTTTTGGACTCGAAGGAACGGGAGTTGAGGGAATTACTCGAAAAGGTTCACAGATTAGATGAGCTGGAAGAAAAGCAAGCTGAGGACGGTAAAGATGAGGGAGAAGCAAAGACACTGCCTTCAGTAGACAATGTTTGGGTGGAGCAGGCGAGGGGAATGTCCAAAACATGCACCAATGACGACGATTCGGACACCGGACTAAGTTCAATGCATAGCCAGGACTCGGATAATAACGCGCCTGTTTGCGAGTCACTCGTGTGACAAAAATCGCAGGAGTGGTTCGAAACTGCGCGAACTCAGGGAACACTGCGCCTCTAAGGTTTCTCTCTTTATAAGAGAGGAACGCATGTAAATGATACCAGTGTAGTGTTATGATCGCCTCACTCTGATATTGCCTCACTTGTACACATAGCTTGTAAGGTGCAACTTACAAAGTTAGAGCAAATTAACCAATGCATAGACTGAGAGATGTCCACTGTGTGCTGACTAATGTTATACCAAAACTATGTACTTGTGTTACGTAGCCTTATGTTTAAAAGTTACAGTTTGAGTTTTGTGGGTTTTTAGTTCATGCAGCTTTGCTCTTTCTGGATATTATGTACACATATTTGATTTTTGTACCTGTCTTTGATCTGACCGTTTGATGGTTATTTGTATGATTCAATTTGTTCAGAAAACAAAAAGGCTTTTCGCTGGTGCTTGAGCAGATCATACATGTACAAAATTAGCCACTAAATAATCAATCAGAACATAAGACACATATGACGATTGCGTTGTATTTCTTTTCTAGTAAATGCATCCTGCACCAAGTTGATTTTTGTCCAATCAGATACTCTCAAATTTAAAGGATTTTGTAATTCACCTGACATGCCCCGCCCACACTGATTGTTTACATGTTAGCAGTAATCAAATCAGACCAATTATGTCAAACCAATGTACCACTTTCTTCCTATGATGTTAGAGGGTGTGAAACTTTAGAGAACATCTGATTGGACAAAAAACCTACGCAGTGCAGGATGAGTCATCAATCATTTAAAACCATTCTGTCATATGAGAATCTGCAAATATTTCATATATAAAAGCGAGTTTCTGAAACTAAAAAAACACAAAACTCAAAACGCTTGATTAAACGGTGTCTTTAATTGTCTTCAGAATTATTTATTGTGCAACATTTACAGTAGGAAGCTAACAGCTAATAAGTGTTAATCACTTCCATCTTCACCAGCTGACTGATTAGAATGATTCACTAACAGCTTTTACAATTTTGCCTAAGCAGATCGACACGTTGTGCAGTTGTAATTAAATGTGCGTGCCAAGCACTGCTGTTTATTCATTCTTCTGAGGAGCTGATGCGTGAATTCCTGTTATCTTACACTAAGGAGAAACACTGAAGTGATTTCAGTGAGACCCCAGCAATTAAACATACCAGACATACTGGAATTTGCTGTTAAGTCATTTCTGCTTATCTCATTTTCTTGTCACAAGGGACTTCTCAGTATCAAATGTATTTAGTGGTTGACTAACTAGACAGCGCATATTGCAACTAACAGCAAAATTAACAAGTGTAATACCCTAAAATGTTTCCTGTAGCATTTTGTAACAGCTTACAAAATCATTTAAAGGGACTACACTAGGGCTGCATGATGCTGGTAAAATTTGATATTGCAATATTTTATTATCCTGCGATTAGCATTGTGATGTAAATACAGTTTCACAAGATAGTTTGAATAGCTCTATTTGATGGTTTTCTGAGGAGTCCAGCATTTTTCGGCTACAAACAGAAATTTAATCACAAAGCAAAAAAATGCTTTTCTTACAATGCTTTGTCTTATTTCTAGTCCAGATATCTAAACCAAATTCTTAGATCAAGTAAAAATATTGCTTTGTTATGATAAGGCAAAATTAAGAGATTTTCCCTCAAAACAAGCTAATGTATCTGCTGCTAGTGGTGTAAGCTAAATAAATTTGTTTTCACTTTGGAATTTCAATATTTGGACTAGAAATAAGACAAAAAATTTTAAGGAAGAAAAACAAATCTTTTTTTGCATAAACCCTATAAATTATGTGCAAATACAGTGATTAAATACAATTCTGTAGCTCCTGGTCAACTATAATCCAGACGTAATATTGCATATCTTTACGATGTGACCACTGCAGATGCATACATTGCGATATCGATGCTGAAACAATATATTGTGCAGCCCTAGATGACATGTAAGATTATTTTAATCACTTTTATATCAACAAAACACAAATAGCTGGCAATGCCACTTTTTATGTGAAGGAGACTTTTGTGGAGAAAATCATCAGGGTGTGATATTAATTCAAACTATGGTCTCACATTCAGATTACCCTTGTTTCAATTTGCCTTTTTATGCACATTTAGGAGGGGGGATGCATAATAATGCAGTTACTGAAAATAAAAAGATGTAGAGCCCTGCACTTGAGCCCGAGCTCGTTGGGGCCCGATTTTTTTATGCCCCTTGGGGCTGGGCTTCGGGTCAATTTTCAAATCATAGCTAGCATGCATATCAGGCTCCGGGAAGTTTGAGCCTGCTTTAGAACAAACTTTTTTTAAAAGTTTAATGAGAGAGTTTAATGCGTGCAATCTGGAAGCGCCAGTGACACATTGCATATAGAGATTTCCAGCCATATGCAATGGAGAACATAAAGAGAAAAACTGCCAATGGAAAACTCAAAACTGTGAAAAACACTAGAGGAAAGGCAAACTTCTAGTCAACTATTCAAATAGTGACAACTACAAATGATAATGAACAATGCAAAAAATTTTGTAAACTCACTATGGACAACATACCGCTTGAATATCGATGTCACTTAAAAAAAACTAAAATTCACATTTAAAAACCAACATTTCTCTAAATTATTCTGATAAAAAAATAAGACGAAAAAAAAAACATCAACTTTCTATACTACAACCTACAGCCTGTGTGTCTCAGGCCAGGGCCAGGCTGGGGCTTAGATTTCAGGCCTGTGCAGGGCTCTACAAAGATGCACAATAGGATTTATTAAACCATTAACAAATATGGGCATTAATGAACCAACCAGCGGACCGACCACATTGTAAAACATCTGAAATATTGTTTTAATCATTCTAAAAAACCTTCACCAAAATCCGTCATCACAGTGGCTTAGTATTATAACCTCCAAAACGGTCTCCTTTTTCCACTTGACACAGAGGTCATCCAGACATCTTGTTGTTTTTAGGATTGGTCTTTTCTTCTTTATAGTTGTGCAGTCAAACGATCATGGGTCTTTTGCATTCTTCGTTGCTCAGTTGTCCAGTGTGGTGCGCTCGGTCTAATTTGATCCTTCCGTTCTTTGCGTTCATATTCAACTTAGTCCGGATCCAAGTCTCAAAAAATTGAATCATTCTGATATTCTGACGCCGACTTCTATTGTCAAGGTCTTCTATTGGTTCGAGTGCTTTTTGCGGGGATGTCTTGATAGATCCGAGGCGTGTTGAGCTGTTAACTTGATTATCCTCGAGGTCCGATATTCTCTGCTGGTCCTCATTGACTCATGATCATACTGTCCACTTTGCCTGATATCTTGGAAATTAGATGGCGTAACGCCTGTAACCTCTTTTCAGGAACAATTGACACCTTTTCAGTATAGTATAGTTAGAAGCAGCTGGGCCTGGATTATCGCCATCTTGCTCGCTGATAGTGCTCTTGTTCTGACATGTATTTCTTTAAGCTAATCGAATCTTGACTGCGACCAAAAAGGCAATGAGGGACATCCTGATCACTTTCTCCTCAATTCTGTGCACTCTTTAATCAATTAGGATGACAGTTTTGTTAAAGATTTAGCTATAAGGCAAAGAGCTCTTTCAGACACGTTTTGTCGCTCTCAACACATCATGTGATAACCCAACCTCCAGAACTGTCTTGACTATCTGTGCTTACAAAGAGCATCTCACACTTTTAAGAGTTACTATGCGTTTATGGCGCAAGTCATTTTATATGCTCAAACCTTTTCCTTCTTGTTCAAACTACTTATTTAAAATGAGCTGAAACAAAACAGTTCTTGGTTTTTTTGGATACATCCTAATTGTTTTATATTCAATCCACTTAAATTTATGACTTAATCAATGTGTTGAGACAACGTGGAAATAGTGTGGAAGCCAACATTTTTTTACAGTGAATGTAAGAAAAAAGGCCTACATAGGTTTCTACTACCACAGCAAACTCTATTTGTCCTTTAGATATTTGGTGGCAGTTTATAAAGAAGTGACGGTTTTGTTCTCTTTGACTCGTTGTATGGAAACTGCGCTTTAGTAATACTAGTAAACTTTATTGTTATCGGTTTAACCTACACTTAGGGACACCATACCTCTTACCAGAGGGAAGCAGTACATAATGTGGACATGTGGATCGTTCAGAATCCTTTCCTCCTGATTAAGGACACAATTCTAAAAAATAAAACTTGGGGATTAAAGTATTCATCATGCTCAACAATTTTCTATCCAGTCTTTAAGAGATGCATCAACTTAGATTTACACTGATTGTATGGATACCATGTGATATCATATCTGACAATGCTTCCAAGAACTGCTTTATAAAACAACATCATAAGCTTCTTGTACACTCTAAAGAGTTAATTTGTAAATGTTTTATGCAACATTCCAGTTTTGCTCATAAATCTAATGTGGATCTTTTGATAAAACAGCTATTGTCTCTCAAGTATACTCAATAATCAAACTATCAAGACAGTGTATTTTCATGAGCTAATGCTGGTGAAATGCAAAGCTTAAGTAAACATTTGTATTGCTATGATCAGATGCTTTCTTAACTGCTTTTTTCAACACGTTTGAGCATTTTGTTACTGAAAAAACAGCATTTACATACACTCAAACTATTATTTTTGCTGCTTGTTCAAACTACTTATTTAAAATGCGCTAAATCAACACACATCTTGAGGTTTATTTGGGACAACTTAATTGTTTTATGTTCAATCCACTTAAATTTGTAAAAACAATCAAAAACAATTAAGTTAGCTTAATCGATTTGTGTTGGGACAACATGAAGGAATTGTGTGGAAGCCAACATTTTTTACTGTGCACACACTTTTTTTTGCTGCTTGTTCAAACTACTTATTTAAAACGAGCTGAATGGAAACTTAATTTTTTATTTATTTTTCTGGAGACAACATAATTGTTTTATGTTAAATCTACTTAAATTTGTCAAAAAATGTAAGAATTGAGTTAACATAATTTATTATGTGGATGCCAGCATTTACAGCTTAAACAAAATGTCGCTATCTCTTTACATCTGGACATTCATAATTATTGCTGCAAACTTATTTTGCTATTAATGAAAGATCAAAATAGAAGGATTGAATCAGTTGCAGTTCACTTATTGGCCACCACATCAATAAGTTTACTGAATCTGAAATATATCCCATAAAACTCGCTTAATACATGCCACAAACTTCATTGTGCTCCAGCATGACCTTAGCACTGTAACCAACAGAGTTGAAGTTTGGGCAGGGCTTCCTTCCAACGCAACGCAATGTCACAGAGTTCAGGGATTCTGTGGTGTATGAAGAGGATTTAGGAGTTAAGCCTTAAATGTGATGTTTTAAAACGGAGAAAGAAAAGGGAAAGAACAGGCCGCCCACTTCATTCTCAATTACACTTCATTTTGAAACAGATGAATTATGGCTGTTGGAAAGGCCCTGCTGCTGTGAATTTGTGTTGAAAAGAGGGTTTTATGTTCCATCCTGACTAGCTTTAATCATCAAAAGTACTGAAATTCTATGTGTCGTCTATGATTTATACTCCTGTTTATTAGTAAATAATTAGATGTTTTAATGCAAGGCACTGCAGGCTAAAACACTGCTTTTCAAGCACGTCAGTTCTGACATTTTTTCTGTTTTTATTGAAGTATTTTTTACTCTAATTTAAAGACAACATACTAAATACAGTTTTGAGTGTTCATTTTGTCTCATTTATAAAATTTGTGTCTGGAGATCTTACTTATTATACATTATTTTAAAGGCTGTTCTCAAAATGAGGAATACATCTCACTTCAGCAGCTCTTACATTCACCAAATCTTCAGTTTTATTCATATCTGAACACTGTAAAAAAAAAAAAAAAAAAAGTCATGAAAAACTAAACGTTTTTAACTCTAGTGCACTGTTCAAATTGACTACCTTTTGTTCTGTTAGAGATGAAAACATCCACTTAATAAACAGCTGTAAAAATGCATCAGATAAATTGTTTCCCCAATTTATTTGCATAAATCTCTCCTGATCAACTCAAATCACTTAAATCAACCCCAGTCCTGATCAAAACTACTAAATTGTTTAGAAAATTACAGGATTTCAACTCTTTAATTGCCAAATTAATAAATGATGTCACTGAAAAAAAAGCACACAAAATTACTTTTTCAATATAATAACTTTGATAAAACATAAAAAAATCC